ATTATATCTAAAAATAAAGAAATTGAACTAAAATGCCCTATGTTAATTAACATAAATATTCATTAATTATTTCTCATTAATGTGAATTATGAGAGGCGATTTCAAAAATGTATAATAAATACTTATTAAAATATGTAATTTCTCTTATATAAAAAACAAGTAAAAAGTGGTACTTTCTCTCATAAATAGAAACAAAGTAGTATTATGTTTAAAACCGTCTAATTTTTTGAAAACTGCTCTAGCTCCTGGTTCAACTCTGGTTTACTGTTTAATAGCAGCTCAATTTCGATCCAATCCAGTTCAATCATGAAAACAATATTTTAATCCAAATCGAGCCATTAACAGCTCCAGTCGATGGTCTGATTGTCCGGTTCGATCAATCGGATGGTTTTTTAATCATTGATGATGGAGGTTTCTCTATTAATTAAATTGGCTTACAACTAGATGGGTAAGAAAGAGGGGAAGATCCAATAATCCTATTTGGACAAAAGGATATAGAGATGGCCAACTTATAAAAAGATTAAGGGCTTCTTGTAGAAACTATTTGGAATAGACTGCAAACGGGGCTTCATGACTATCATTAAGATGGAGACTAACACAACCTATGCCCTCTCAATTGTGGACAACAAACGTCCACCTTAACAAAACCAGAGATTGTTCAGAAACTAAAAACACATGGGCTAAATTAGTCAAAGCATCTATGCTCTGAAATTTTTTTCTCTCGATACAGGATTGTAGTAATGGAATGCAAATAGTACAAAAGCAGGGAGCATCGCCACAAGGATGTTATCTTGGCAAAGAATTTATGCACAGAATTGTTGGACATTTTAGAAGAACATGTGGAGTAAAATCTTTTATGCGAAGAATTATTAGGAAAGAGATATCTTTTTCCTGACTTCTTATTCAAATTTTTTCTTTGAAGGAATCAAATAAAGTGTGTGAAAAGTTCATATTGTGGATAAAATGATTATAGAAAATCGAACCCAAGTTGGGTTAGGTAAGATGTTAACAACTCAATCCATCCTGAGTGGAGGCTTCTTGTGAAATTATACGATACAACAACTGGAGAAGTGGCTTTATGAGAAAAATGGTCTACTTTCCTAATACCACTGCAGAAATGATGAGTATCAGAGAAGGATTAGATCTCTGTTAGAATCAAGGCTTGAGAAAATTTAAGTTGTTTTCGAATTTAGTGGAAGCGATTGAGAACTAGAAGGAGGTGTTCTTTGACCATGTTTTTGTTGGATTACTTGTTGTGATGATAACTAACCCAAGGGAAATGTTGTTTTGTAGGATTTAAACAATACTCAAAGACAAAACAATAAAGTTAGAGAGATTCTAGAGAAAGAAGACTTGGTCTTTAGGTTATTGTGAAATTTGTTAGAATCTCTTGTAAAAGAGTTTAGATAACTATATTTTAAAATAAGAGATATTTCTGAAATGGTTTTTGAAAAGATATAAGCTAACTATTTTTAACTTCACAATATTTAGAAAGAAAAATATCAAGTTTTTCTTGAGAACTTGTAGTTACCGTGCCATCCAACAAATAGCATGCTATCCAGTAGTGTCTTCTTAACTTAGTTTCTCCTCTGTCCTTCTAGTTAGCATGCTTGGTCTCCTACTTAATGTGTTATTCTGCTTAAGAAACTAAGTGTGTACTCTAAGGCTTTCTATTAAATCCACTTGTCACCAAGTGGTGCATTATCCATAGAGTTCCACACAATTTTTCTCTAAATAATTGGTTATCGTGCTAAGTCGTTCATTTAACATGCTATCTGAACTTCAAAGTCTTATCCATTTCAACCAAGTCTCCATATAACGTGCTAGTCCTTCAAATAGACAACTTATTTGAGTTTGGACGTTCTCCACTATAAAGAACCACCATTAGCACACTAGTCAGTTAAATAGCACACTATCTGGTGAACTCTTCATTTGCTTCACTTTGCTTTCTTCTCTGCCATCGGAGTTAGCATGATATCATCTAGCCTACCCAAAGCTCTCTAGAACGCTATCCAAGCCCAGAACCTTTGAACTTTCACTAGTTAACGTGCTATCCATCAATGCATGCTATATAGTGTTCTAACTTCATTTATTGCTTTTGCAATAAAGTACTTCTCTGTATATCAATCTCAACGACTATTTTATTGTATTTAACAGCTAGTATAAATACAACCTCATTGGAGTTTGTTAATAACAAATCATTTTCCTCAAAATCATGCACAAAAAACTGTCTTTATTTAGGACTTCATTGTAATTAATATTTCTCTTAAGGAGATTTTGTCATTGATTCTTCATTTTTCAACAAGATCTTTGAGAGAATATATACTAGAAATGGTAGCTCTCATTTATACTGAGAGAATCAAGGATAGGTATCTCTTGGGATTAGATTCAAGAGAAAGATTTCTCTTGTGAGGAAAAAGGCTCATTGTCAAGAGTGAGGGATTATAGTGGTTCACAAGTACCTAGTTTAAACTTGTGGATTATGAAAGATAAAATCTCAAAAAGGTTTTCGAAAATTAAATATAAGTTCAAGTGGTTAGAATTCAGTCAGGATAAATCATGTTTGCAATCTCTCTTTCCTTAATTTTTTACTTTTCCAGCTTTATTCTACTTGGAAAAACTTGGTATTCAAAGTTTATTCATTCATCACTAGTTTTACACTTAGTTGACATTTGTTCTAAATAAATATTTATAAAAGTCTTGCTAAGTATTTTAGAATCATTTTAACGGATTTCAAGCTTACCTTCTTCGTTGAACATAGCTTTTCAAAGAAGTGTTTGAAAGTTAAAAAATTTCTAAAACATCCAATTCACCTCCTCTTGAGTATTTTTTGCCTAATCTTATAATTGATATGAGAACGGGTCACTTGTCAAAGGACGACTAAACAATATCAAATGTTACCGTAGCAACTTTGAGTTGCGTTTCTATTGTTGAAGGCTTTGATATTTTATGGCCCCTTGTTTTGAAAAATATCAGTTTTAAATTTTGGAAATCTAGAATGAAATTATTTTTGAACTTTATATATGGATTTCTAGATTTTTTTTGAAATTAATTTTGATTTCAAACCTAGAAGGGAATGAAACAGAAAAAAAAATTATATTATATAGATATTAGAGAAATAAAAATATTGTGCTATGCTTTATCTGAAGTTGATTTTGTAGCAATTAAAAATTTCTCTAATGCTAAAGAAATTTGGGAGACTCTTGAATATATATATACATGAGAAATTTAAAGATTTTAAAAGATAATAGATACCTTTAAAGATGATGTACTTAACTACTCATTAGTTTCATTGAAATAGTTAGAAAGTGATTTAAATACTGGATCAAATGGATTGAAATGCAATTTTAATATTGGACTTACGACTTGAACCATGATTTTTTTATCTCTTTTACAAATAACAAAGATGAATAAGAGTACATAATTAGAGTGTGAATGTGATTAAACAAATAAATTCATATAACAATTCTACTTAATCTTCATTAAAATGTCTAAAACATCTTATAATAAATCGAGAGGAGGAGTACTTCTCCCTAGTTTCAAACGATTGGATGTGACAAGATGTCAAATCATTAGCTTACTTATACATTATTGTGCAATGCAAAAAATTACGAAGCACATGGATAGAAGAAATACGACATTATTGTATCATGATTAAGATAACGAAACATCATAGAAGATTCAGATCTGAGAGCATTAATTGGTGGGCCAGATTTGAGGAAGGAGACAAGCCCAGAATGATCATGAGAAGTCCATGGGCCCCAACGTGGCCCGGCTATGGAATCTCTCTCATTTTTATGAGGTTTAAATTTCTATGGTGTAGCTTTATGTAGCTTGAAATGACTTGGGGTTTAGATGTTTGGTCATTTCCAATTCACTGCCGTTGTTGGAAATATTATTCATGCATTATGATATCTTATTCAAACTTTTTTTTTTATATAAATCCAGTACATCACGTCATTCATACTCTATTTAATAAATTTATATCATTTTCATTAAATAAAATCACATGCGCCATTATTTTTAATGATTTTATTTTTAAAATATAGTGTTTTGTTCTTTAATTTCTTTACATTTTCTTTTTTATCATCATCATTGCATAATTTATTGGATAATCTACAAATAATGTGGTACATTGGATCCATGCAAGAATTTATCTTATATCAATTATAATGAAATGAAAATAAATAGATACCCAATTGGGCAATCGAATATGACTGATAATACTAGATATCATAATTATATAGAACAGATGCAGGATGGAATAAATACCTCATCCTTCTCAGTTATTGACTCATTGCTTTCATGATTAGTTTCAATTAGGCAATTTGTTTGATTTTAGAAAATTTAAAATATATTCAATTTTGTATTATAGTTAGCTTGGTTTAGTTTGGCTTATATTGATTTATTTATTTTTTAAAAAAAAAGAGTCATTATTTTGCATTTTCTTATCATTTATTCTTTCATAATAAAATAGATAATTAGGAATAAAGAAGTTTAAACCACTGAAATTTAAATTATATATATTGAATTTGAATCATTAAAATCCATTTCCTTTGAAATATAGTAGGGAATTTTCTTCCATCTCATTTCATCTCATTTATAATAAAAATAATTAAAATTAATGAAACATATAAAATAAGGCCAAACCACATAAAAGAGTACTGGCAAGAAGTATCAACTAATTAATACAAAGTGTCTCTATTGATGATTCATTTCATGGCAGTGATCCTTATATGTGAAAATGACACAAGTAAGGCCATGTGTGAAGCTACTACTGTGTTCCAAGTCATTTGCACATCACATCATGTTTTAACATAACTTTCACGAAGTTTCTTCATCTTCTCAAAGTCTGCCAACCATGAACCACCACAACCAAATCCATCCATAAACTTCAACTTTCTACCAATCACACCTATTTTCACACCCACATACACAGAGATATATATATATATATATATATGTATGTATTTATCTTTCCTCTCCACTCAATACATCATCCTCCAAAAATGGGTCTTATTGCTGATCATATTGCTTATGATGTGGCCATCATTGTTCTCTCCATATTTCTCTTGGTTCTCGCCATCGTCCTCTTCTTCACATGCAGGAAGAAACCAGTTCAATCTGATATTGAAAAGGATCAAGAGGAAGAAGAAGATAATGAAGAAGAACAACAAAAAGCAGTGCCCCCTGTGAAGATCTGTGGGCGTGCATATACATTAATGGATATTGATGCTGCAACTGATGGATTCAACCAAAGGAGAATCATGGCCAAAGATCTCACAGGAACTTTATATGCTGGTGTGTTACAAAATGGAGAGCTTGTGGCTGTCAAGCGGATTCATCCTCTTCTTGTTCTCAGAAATGCAGGATTGAGTGGCTTCTCTTCAGTTCTCAAATGCCTCTCTTCAGCTCAACATCCTAACATAGTTTCCATTATTGGCTTCTCAGAAGCACCAGGTAATAAAAATGGATGTGACATATAATGAATTAGGCTTTTAATTATCTTGAGGGAAATTCTGGCTATATATCTATATCAGTTGGGATCATTTAGATTTTAAACTTTTTATCCATAGGAGTTACATACAACCTCATTTTATCAATTGCCATGTGAAATATTATTATTCTTGGTTTGTGTGTATGAATAACAAATCTATCTGAGAGGTGTTATCTCCATTAACAGACACAATAAGAAAGACAAAAGGTTGCAATTGAGGAGGGTAGTTTGCGAGTAAATCAAACTGATTAGAGATTAATTAATCGTTTGCATGATTTTCTCAGCTTTTTATGTGTTTTATTGTTCCGAAAATTGATTGTTTGTAAATATTTGAGTGGAATTTTGATTTTTTGGTTATGGTGTTTTTTTCGTAGAATTTGGACAATAATATTGTTTGATTCCCCGTTTCTTTTTATTAGTTATGACTCGTTTTATATACAAAAAAAGAAGAAATTAAGAAATGAAACCAAGAAACATAGAAACAAATAATTTTAAAGATAAAAATAGTTATTGTATCCTTATTTAACAAAAATAAATAAATACAAACAATTGAGTAATAATTACAAGGACATGCTGGATAATAAAAAGCAAGAACCTCCTATTTTCTTTTTGATATACTAGACTTAAAGTTCTAAATGTATATCAAAATTATTGATACATATTATTGAAGGAGATCACTAACTACTATTTCATATTGTAATACCCCACCAGGTGAAAGAATCATAGTGATGGAATTTGTAGGCACGTTGAGCTTAGAATTCTATCTGCATCAAAACCCAGATGGGAATTCACTCTTAGATTGGAACCAAAGGTTCAAAATTGCAGCAGAAGCAGCAAGAGGACTTCACTATCTTCATGAAATTGCTTCACCAAACATAGTTCATGGCTGTGTCAAGTCCTCAAACATCCTAATAGACATAAACTTCAGTGCTAGGGTTTCTGACTATGGCCTCAACTTTCTTGCACCCCAAGAAAAGAGAGCCCTAGTAGGGTATGTGGATGAAGAGTATTGGATCAGTACTGATAACAACAACAACAATAATGGAATTATTAGAGGAGGAGGTAGTTGCAAAGAGAGTGATGTTTATGGATTTGGTGTGGTTTTATTGGAGCTTTTGAGTGGAAGAGGTTGTGAAGAAGGGTTGTTAGTGAAGTGGGCATTGCCTTTGATTAAAGATATGAGGTACAGTGAAGTTTTAGACGCTAGATTGGTGATTCCTTCAGAGATTAAGCCTTTGGTTAGGTTAGCCAAAGTTGCTTCTGCTTGTGTTGGTAATTCAAGAAAATGTAGGCCCTCCATTGCTCAAGTCTCAACCATTTTGAACCATTTAGAGAGAGAAACATGCCTCATGACATCGCAAAATTAGAGGTTACGAGACCTTGCTCAAATCTAGAGTAGTCGAAGATATCAAATATTAGAGATTACAGTTTAAACTTATCTATAGGTACTTGACCTATCCTGTTATGTTTGAATTGAGTATGTTTTTATTTACATTTTCAAATTTCAAATGTAATTAGACTAAGAAGAGGTTGCTGCTATCAATTTTGGAGTAATGAAAATGAAATAGGATTCTCATATCTCTTTTGTCTCTTGAGGTTTAAGCCTTTTATTAAGTATCATTTGCTCAAAAATTATATTTTTGTCAATATGATTTTATTCATTTTTATTAATTTGATTCTTACACTTTAAAAATTTATAATTAAGTCCTGGAAATTTATAAAATTTTTATTTTAGTTTCTATGGTTAGAATTTTGCAAGTTAAATTTTTTTTATAGTATAATAAATTGTATTATTTGTAACAAATAATGTTTGTGTGTGTGTAATTACTTAAAATTAACTCCTATATATCCGAGAATATTGAAATAAAAATTTTTTACTAAATAAAACGAAGTTAGTAATGATTATATTTAAATTAAAGCCACATAATTAAATAAATGTATGCTACAAGGATCAAATGGTCAAAATTTAGTAAAGTAAAACTGCATAAACACTGTAAGTTTAACTTTTTATTATTAAATGATATAAATTATTTAATAATTTTACGATCTTTGAATCATTTGGACACATATGTTCCCTCTTCCAAAATTTAAAAAAAATAAAAAAAGTTAATGTTATATTTTGCTCTCCAAATATTATTTTGTATTATAAAATACTTTAATTTCTCTTGAATACAAACCTTATAAAAAAAAGGTCCTCATAAAGTTTCAACAAGTTTTTATATACAAGATTCTTATTTTGTAATAAAAATAAGTGCATAATATGTGAAATATTTTACCAGGGTTGAAAGAAAAAGAGGTTTTGCAATATTAAAAGATTCAAAAAAAAATAAAACAAGAAAAAAAAAAGTTAAGAGCGTTGCATTAATTGAAAATGGTGAGAGGCATTTTCAAAGGTGACAGTTTGAGAGATTAGAAAAACATGTTTGTGAGTGGAATGTTGAAATTGATAGGTGGGACGGTGCCTTCATTATAGAGATTGTGAGATCTCATCAATCCTTTTGTTTCCTGTGGGATTGGTAAGTGGGGACTCTTTTTGAAATGAAAGCAAAGCCATCCTGTACATGGCACGAAATTTAAGAAATAAGTCACATCGTTTTGTAATAGGGTTAAAATACAATTTCACTTTTAAAGTTCAGTATTTGAAATTATAAATTTATTTTTTTTATAATATCATGTTTTAAATTTTAAAAAGTGATATAATAATATTCTTACTTTTAATAAAAATTAATTTTAATTATCAATTAATCAGAAAATTACATAAAAGAATTTTAAAAATTCCAAAAAAAATGACCAATAAACTTATAAAAAATAACTTAAAAATTATATACAAAGATCCAGAAACAATTAAAGAAAAGAACCAATACAATTTTATCATACTTTTTTTATAATTTTTAGGTTTTTTTATAATTTTTTAATTAATTAACTAGTAAAGTTATATAACTTTTACTAATGATAGAGGTAAGATCGCTTCGTTTTGAAATGTTAAAGAGAATGTGATATTAAAAATAAATTTTAAATTTCAAACACTTTGAACTTATAGTTTATGAGTTAATTTATTGCCAACTAGCCCTTTATAATATGCTACTATAATATGAATGTCAATTTATACTTTATGTTAATAAATAGTTAAGAATTTTAAAAATTATATTGCTATTTTTAAAATAAATAAGTGCTCATGTTTTCTAACATTGCAATTTGAACTTCTTTATGTTAGGAGCGTGCATGAGATTTGTTACTTCCCCCTGACAAAAATATCTGTTATATTAAGACTATTAGGTTATTTCTTCATCTAACATGGATTATATGGCTTTAAGAAGTATATTAATGCAAATTTTAATTTATGATGTTTGGTGAGTGATTTCAATTTTCAAGGTTCTTGGTTGATCATTTTGTACGTTTTGGTCAAATATCTATCAACTATACATCCATTGAACTTGGGCCCCATTTTAAATTATGACATAAGTTTTCTTTTTCATTTAGCATGCAAATCGATCTGTGTATTTTTTGTAAAATCTATTAAAAGGATTTAAACTATTTTTTTCTCACTTCTCATCTCACTCTTGTTATATAAATAATGAAATTGGTCTCATGTAACGATATATGTGATCTTTCTTGTACCCCTTTTTCTATGGGGCATAGCGCATGGGCGGCGCGACATGGAAGATATAGAGGGAAATGCACCCCTAGGACTTAGGAAAAATACAAGGAGTATGTATATGTTCTAATATCTTGCATCTCTTAATTTAACTTTAAATGTGTTTGAGTTTCAAAAAATTTTATATTCTCTTGAAGTTAAGAATTATATCACCAGTTGTTAGAGCAACAGAAAAAAAAAAAGTGTTTTTTATTATGAAATTTGTAAAAAAAAATCAACTATGGAATATATGAAAAATTCATTAATGAATAATTATCGAGTGATTTATATTGAAAATAATATTTTCTTTAACATTAATAATAAAATGATTGCTCCACAATTTCATAACTAGAAACCACTCAAGGTATAATATTTTTTTAAATTATTTTTAAGTTAATAATTTTAAAACTATTACACCTCATGATCCAGGATTGTGACACCGCCACATGCATAGTGCCTAATAAGTTCAAGGATCAAACTTGGAATCTAGTACCACAACGATGTGTCTAGTGCCACTAGATCTAAGAGTTGTTGGCAAATTCTTAATTCCTCAATTTACTATTTCTCTCTCTTTATTATTTAGAGATATCAAAAGACAATTTATAATTAACCATAAACAAAATCACTTTTTTAATTTCATTTACTTTTGTATATATTCCACTTCATTCTATATAGGTACCAAACTAGCTCTAAGATACTCAAACATTGAAGTGAGTTGAATTTTAAATTTTAAGGATTCATTAGAATTATATCTTGAATAAGCACTTTACATTATTACTTTTAATAACAAATGTCAAAGTTTGAGCAATGGGACATTCTCCGATATCATGAATAGCCCTTAAAACTTAACTCGTTTTTTAAAAAAATAAATTTATACCTTAAAAAAATTAGTAGAGTCTAATGAAATTTAAAATATGGCTCCATAAGGTGCAGTATACGTAGAGCTAAAACTATGGACCATATGTGTTGACTTCGACTGACCTGAATAAAGGTCGGCTTAGAAACAAATTTGATTCAAATGAAAATAGCTTTTTCTTGGTTGGAATCAAATAATCTCATGAATCAAATTGACTAATCCTAATGAGTTAGGATTGTTCTATTTATCCCATCTTATTTTTTAAAAAATTTTAAAAATGAAGAATGAAAAATGGGAGGGAGTTTTGGCACTGCAATTCTATAAGACAAGCAAAAATAAATATCATAAATTTATAATATATATTTTTCAGTCACAGAATATTATATTAAAATTTATCATTTAGGTATAATTTAATAATTTATCTAGAATTCATGCAAAAATAAATAAATAAATTGATAGATTGATCCATTTAATTTACTAACCTATCAAGATTGGATTAAATTGAAATTTTTTAATCTATATAAAAATAAATTAAACTCAATTCAATTTATATTTTCCCCGGCAATATGGTTCTTGTTGGACCGGAGGGAGTAAAAGTTAAATAATTATTTTTTAAGAGAAAAAGTACATCATGCCATTCAACTTGGCCTATGTAGAAATTATCCCACGAATTGAATAAATATAATTATTGTTTTTTGGCTATATATCCCGATACCGGAGAGCTTGGTTGGCATTTATATGAAAGTGACTACTTAAGTCACCATCCATGTGACATAACACAAATTCTAAAGGCAGTCAAGTGGCTTAGAATATTAATTATTTAAACTTTCAAATCATTTGAACAGTTGATAAACTGGCTTCTTCAGTTCCCATATAAAACAATTTCAACTATTTCCCTTAAATATAAAAAAACTATAGTTAATTTATTAATATATTTTTATAATAAAAAATTAAATTTAATCTTATTAAAATATAAAAGAAAGAAATACTCCCTATTCAAAAATATAAAATATTTTTATCAAATTTCACCCTCAATAAAATAATTATTTATTTTTAAACTAATCATATCTTTTCATATTTATTCATATTCATCTTAAAAAAATATAAAGTAATATATTCAATAAAGACATTTTAAAAAAAATAATAATTACACCTTAAAAGACTCAAAATGTCTTATATTTTTTAACATATAACTTAAAAAATATTTTATATTTTTGAGTGGAGGAATTATATGATAAGTTATAAAATTAAATTTATAATAAAAAATTAAAAAATAATTATAAATAACATTATATATGCCTTATAATAAGAACCATGCAACCAAAAAAAACGTGAGAAACAAATAAACTTTTCTTGACAATTGGCATAGTAGTGAGAGAATGTTTAAAATAATTTATACAATTAAACTTTTATTGATGAGTGCTATAGCTAGCCCAAGGCGGCCAAAATGATTTATTATTATCATCTGAATAAATTTGGTATTTTAAATAAGAAAATAAAATATTAGAATGAAAATATATTAGATGTGTGTAATATTGTGTTAATCTTGATAATTAATCATGTACGACTGGAGAAATAGACAGATCCATAACTCCCAAAAAAAGCCATCTAATTCAATAAATACATTAGTAAATGAGTAAACTATTTATTCAATTTAAATTTAAAATAAAGTTTAAAGAAAGAATAACATAAGTAGATTTTATAGCAACATTTAGTTTTTATTCTATAACTGATTGTTAAGAAGGACATATAAAATTAATTAAATAAATATAAAATATTGATAGGTTTAATCAAATATAATCAAAAATCAATGCCTATTTATCTCTAGAATATGCACTGATTAAGGGTAAAATGGTCATTAAAAATTGATTTTTATGGGAAATTATTTCATTCTTGAAATGGTAAAGGGGAAGGGAGATTTCATTAACACAGTAAAATTCCACCTTTATTTAAACTAACATTCAACTATTACAAGATGTGATTTTTTTTTTTCTTCATAACAAAATTTTCATTGCACTAAACTGCCGTGAGGGAACGTTATCATTTTCATTATTATCATTTATCAATATTAAT